CTTCAGCGGGATGTAAGGCAGCCATGACATTTGGACTGTATTTTCAGAGCTGAGTTGGCAAGTGGGAAGAAGAACATGTAAGTGCTTGGAGAAACACCAAAAAAGTTTAAAGAAATTAAGGAGGACTCTTGAATCTTGCCAGAGTGAAGGAAAAAACAAATATCTTTTGAGAGATACTATTCGGAGGTATTGAGCACTTGGCCAAAATCAAAGCAGCAGCACCATAAAGAAAAAGTGGGGGAAAAAAAAAAAGGTGTGTGTGTGGGGAGAAGGATAATTCTGCAAAACCAGTGCAAAAAATCCATGCTGCAGTCAAAGCATGAAGATAAAAAATAAATACAGGAGACTGTATTTTAAAGAAAAAGGTAGGTATTTTCTGAGGACAAGAGAGGAATCCCAACTTTCCAAACTCTCAGGATTTTATCAAGAGCCTCAAGTTATTTGATTTTTTAATTTTTTTTTTTTTAAGGCTCAGCTCCAGATTAAACACTGTTTTCACCAAGAGAAAGGAAGAGGGTGATGAAACAAAAACCATAATTTTCCCAGGAACCACAGCTACAGAGAAAAAGTAGAAAAAGACACCCACCAGAGGCTCAAACCTGAGAAAACAGACCCAACTTGTTAAAAACCCTAAACAAACTATTACAAATTTGCATTGTTGAGGTGCAGCTGAAGCCTGCCAGGGCAGGTTTATTCCCACTATAGATGTAAAACCCCAGCTTTGGAAACTGCTTGCAGCCAACCATTGTGAAATCTGGACCACATCAAAACCTCTTGCTCTGGCTGGTGACTGATCAAGATACATAGCGTCAAGTAAAAAGAGGAATAAAAGGCCAAGCTAAACCAGATAGAGGATTACAGAAAAAGGCCAAATATTTGGCAAAACTACAATACCATGTACTTCATGGCATTATCTGATCCCTAAGTATTAGATATCAGCATGTGGCAAAAGATGTGGGATAAATGATCTATCTTCCATAAGATCCTTCCTGTGAAGTCCCTGTACCAGCTGCTTTTTAACATGAGGTAGTGGATTAGACAGATCTTTGGTCTTATCTAATATATTCCAGATGCTCAGGAGAAGTGTCAGTAACATCAGCAAAAGATCTGCTTCCAAACAAAGAAAACTGTCCAAGCTGAGGTATGAGAGGCACGAAGGAAAGAAGCTGAACCTTAAAAAGAGAAGGGAAAATTTTGGCCTTAAGTCAGAAGAAAAAGAACAAATGTTCATGCGCAAGAAAAAAACAAAACAAAACTAAACTCAGAAAAAGATAGAGGCTGCAGAGCACATTAACAGACAGTCAAGCCAAGTTCAAGCAGAATAATTTTCTCCATTTACGCAGTTTACCCAGTAAAGTTTCTTACCAGGTAGCCTGATAAAAAAGCATACACCTAGTCTGTGGGATTCTCTGCAGTGAAAAGAGGGGTAATATCCTGGAAAGAGTTAACACAGCTGACAGCTATATCAGGCGGAATTGTTTTCAGACTTCCCTTTCCCTGAAGAGCACTTTAACCTGCAAGGTTCTGCTTAGCTGATTCACACAGCAGGTCACTATCATTTATTCAGGCACAAGGGGTGAGTTCACGATGACATTTCAGTCTTAAATCCCCGGTTCTGGAGTGAAATGGGATCAGCAACATCTGAATGCAGTTTTTATCATCTGTGCACATGAGGAAGTATACTTGGAAGTACAGTAACCAATTATTTATTTATTACCTTGTTATGTAAATGATATAATCTCTCTTTTCTTCTGCAAAAGTGAAATCATATCCTGGAGCACTAAAGGAAACTCTGCAATAAATCTTGCTTGTTAAATTGGCCAAACCCCTGTTAGGTTTGAATAACAATTTTGTTTCACTGTGTAAAAAGGCAATGTGCCAGAAACCAGGTCTTTGCTTCCTTCTACAAGCACCACTTGCAATGTGTTTATATTTGTATTTATGAAGTGCTTTTTCTTACACTTTACAAAGCAATGAATGGCCTATCTGCCATGAGGTGAGGGCAGTATTTGCAGCAGCCACTTATGTCAAGCATGTTACTGCCAATTAATGCAGGGTGGTATTAACTGAAACCGTGCTCTGCAGTATCAAGCCTTTTCTCCTTGAATTTCTTTCCTGTCTGTGAGTTTGATTTAAAGTCAGGTCTTCAAAAGTCAGTCAATAACAGATGGTTAATCAATTTTAACAGTGCACGCTATGAAATAGTAACAGTCAGCAACTGGTGAATTAACAATTAATGTCTTTCCAGAAATACTTTCCCTGGTGCCAAAGGGTGTTGGTTTTTTTTGGTTTGGTTTTTTTTTTCCCCCCTCAATTAAATAAAAAAAGGAATAGATAGATTAAAAAGAAAAAGGAATAGATGTTTGCTTCAAAGAAACAAGGTTGACTTCCAGGATCAAGATATTTCTTCTAAATTTCTTCAATTAGTCCACATAAAAGTAAAGAACATTAAACCAGTGCTCTCTAGGATAGCTAAACTACAGAAATGTCTATAAAGCCATTCTATAGCATAACTAAAAACATGAATATCTTAGTATGTGCAGAAATTCTAAAGAGTAAAGAAGGAAGAGTGGAAGAAAAGAGAATGTGAAAATAATGGATGATTTTCTTTATATAGATCTTTAGGCTAGTTATTTCATAAGAGTTTTCAGTCCCCTCCTCTTACTTATCTGAGTAATCTCCACTGGAGACTACAGCTGAGCAAAAATCCACTGGAGACTACAATTTGAACATTTTTCAAGCATGAATAACACAGCAGGTTGCACCCATAAAACCAGCTATGTGCTTATGTCTTGGCATGTTAGACAAGGCACAGCTTTTACTTCTTAGCACACCTCATGGGGCCAAGACAAAGGATTTGTCAATGCAGGCTGAAGCCGTGGCTATGTTAGATTACGACGTCATGCAAGAGAATTGAGGAAGCTTTGAACAAGCTCTCATAGGCACTGGAAAAAACCTACAATGGCATGGATCTCCAAGTGAGCGCACTTGTTGTAGAAAAGAGCAGTAATTATGATTAAAATAGTGTTAGATGGCTAATGGCATCTGATCTGAAGCTGTGCTACTTCACTTTGCACTCCTGAGTGTGAGAGAGGGCTGTGACTATGAAGAAGGTGGGGAAATTCTTCTGGCACTGGTTACACAGAGGGATTTGTGGTGTGGAAGAGTGCCAGTATTTTGCTTTTTTCTTAGGATTTAACCTATCAGAGACAAAATGGGGATGCTGAGTACCCTGTCACCTCCTTGCCACCAACATGTCCCAGTGTGCTTCCTCAGAGCTTGGAGGTGCTGGATAGTAGGGTTAGTGGTACGTTAAGCACCATAGCACCACTCAAGCCAAGTAGGACATCTGGCAGGCTCAAATCTAAGAGGATGACATTCCCATCTTCTAAGCAGTGGGGCATTGCCTGAGCTCATCATGGATGATAAGGCTATCCCAGCCCACCAAAAGGACTGGGAAAATCTGTGGCCACCCACCCACAGGCCACACTTGACGTGCTCCCAGCTCTGCACTGGGAACACAGCTTGTGTCACTGGTGCTGCCATGGAGCATGGGGGATAATGGAACAATACAAAAAACTTTTCATTCTCCTTGGTCTTGTATTCCAGCCCAGAGGGTGAGAAGTTCTTTAAGAAACACTTGGACCTGGGATCATCCTACCTAACATCTCAATGAGTTGCTTTTATTAAGAACATCCCCTAATCTTTACCTACAACCAGAGCAAAGCAGATAACAATCCCACTTGCCAAAATCACTTTCTCTCATGACCTCTGCTGATGCCTGTTTCTAACCATGGATACAGAGAATGTCTGCCAAAGGTGACAACACTTTAAAATTTAATTTAAGTGTAAATGGTCTAGGTGCCAGCGTTCAGAGTACCTGATTTGCTCACAAGTGTTGAGTATGCATGTACAACAGGCCTGCACACAAACGCTGCTGCTGCTGCTGCACGGCTCTATTAAAATCTTTGTCCTTAAACACCTAAAACTGTGGATTTCCCAGGTGGCATGATAGGCTGCCTCAAGAGAGCATGCTTATCAAGATACAGAAGTGGAGGTGGCTGCTGGAAAGATGTCCTGCCCAGAGAATAGCTGAGGAAGGAAGAAGAATCACTCATCACTAATTTAGTGAATGTGAAAAGCAGGTGTATTCTGTTAAAATAAGTATGGAGGACAAGATGTCCTCAGCAGTTTTCTGTCCTGATTTGTACAGCTTATGCAGATGTATTTTTACCACCTTTTATGCACGGTGACATACGTGTGTATTAGTACCAGAATCAAGAGCTAAATTAATACTTCTTGCACTGCACAGCTGACAGTATTTGGGGCAAGAGATGACCTACTCTATATTTCATAATCCAGTCTGAATATGTCATTCCACCAGTAAGTGAAATAAGTGTATGAGATCTGGAACTTACTGTGAAGAAATAAATATGGTCTCAAATATAAAATACTGCATTCACAAGCTCACTTTTCAGAACAGAACCATGCTTTAAATAGCAGGTTTTTCTCTTTCACTTCCCCCTTCCTCTACCTTAAATTCAGATTATTATCAAGGAGGCAAGCCTCACAATGTGTTAATATAAATCAGTAGAGAAAAAGGACAGGTAATAATGTTTAAATTTAATATAAATTAATAAAATTTAATTAAACTATATTTCATCAAAGAATATTGAATTTTGAAGGCTGGTATTTATGGATATTCAGACCTGGGGCATTTTCATTTCACCTCAAGTCTGATGCATTTCCTTAAGTTGAAACTTTTAAAAGACACTTCTTTTGGGGGAGCAAATAAAACTGGTCATCTCCAAAGTACTGTCCAGTGTGTGGCTTACAGAAAGCTAGATGAGTGTTTGAAATATTTGAAATTTATAAGAAAAAGAATCTTACAGTGTGTCACACATCTTTCAGTAGGGTGCTGGACAGAAACTCTTTCCATTCTAAATTATTCTGTGATTCCATGATTTTTAGTAAGCATTAGTACCAATGAAATTTCTCAGTATGTTTGAAACATTTCTTAATAAGCAGTCTGTCTCCCAAATACTCACTTTTACAAGTTCCATAACAAGGTACAACTCAGTTGGCATGTCCATCTCCTCAATCAGAAGTACAATATTGGGATGCTTGACTCGTCTTAAAATAGATACCTCATTCTGGATCATGTGTTCCTGCCACACAAAATAAATCTTTAATGACTACAGATCTGTGGGAAAAATTTTCACAGTGGAAAAAAAACCAGAGAGAATTGGGACCTGCACAGACTCCTCAGGGTTTTTAAAAAAGGTAACAGATGTTGCCTCCAGCAATATGGAAGGAACATGTCTAGAAACAACATCCATGTGACAACTGAAAGAAAAAGAAACACATGAACAGAGAAAAGTTAAATATGGAAGTTTCTAAAGTTTTTTCTCCAAAGCGGCATATTTTGTTATAGATTTCAAAAGCTAACAGTCACTTGGTATAAAAGTGACATCAGTTTGATTAACCTTGCATTCTGTTTAGACATAGTGACTGGCGTCATTACAATTATTAGTATTATTTTTCTGTTTTCTATAGCATCTGGAATTATGAAAGTTAGAGGACATAATTACAGAGATAAAGAGCAAGGGGAGTGCCCACACACAGCCAACAAACTGGAGAATGAACACAAGCTTCTATGGCCGCATCACAGCCATTTATACTGCTATTCCAAGAGTCTCCCGAGGACAGGCAAAGGCTTCAATCAAAAAGATTCTAACACATGCCAAGAAGTAGACAAATGCCAACAGCTTCCCAAACTGATCTCTCACAAAATGTTTCCTGGGAAAAAAAATCAAAATCTTTTGTCTTTTATGAGTTTTTCATACTTACTTTTCCTCTACATTTACTTTTTTTGATTATTTTCAGAGCATATTCTCTACCAGTTGATCTGAAGAAAAAGAAAAGAAAAATTTGTATGTTCCATCACATTGAATACTTTTCTCAATAGAGTTAATATTTGTCATTTGAGCACAATAGGTCTGGGCAATAATTCCATTCAAGTAATTGTTCTGTCAAGAAATGAAGCTTGGATTTGACTGGAACTGTGAACTTGATCCAAATTTATTGTATGCCTGAGGAAAAAAGCAGTAAGCATTTTTTTCTAAAAATGAGGACATTAGAATGTTTTCAAAACAAAATAACCTGATTTTTTCCATTTTCTATTAGTAACTGTTATTCCTTCTGCAGTTTTGTGTAAAAGCATTATACAGTATTTAAAGATTCCAAATCTTCTAAAACCCCCAAATTTTTGGTTTTGTTATACAAAAGAACTATGAGCTATGGAAAATATTTTTATTTTAGACCTAAAGTGAAAAGTCTTTTGTTTGCACATCTGCTCTCTCAATTGTTATGGTAGAAAAGTCAGTCTTTGAAATAATGTTTTATGTACTCAGTAAGTATATGATATTTAGCAGAGTTAAATACGATGTTTAGAACAGAATATGTAAGGTTCTGGAGACAGTAAGAAATTATAGAGAATTATTTGAGCATTAGGACACATTTCCTTTTGACTGAGTTTGGGTTTTTTTGAAACCATATAATACTTATCACTACTGCATATATATGTATTTATTATATAGAATGCTAACATAGGAAAATAAGCCTGTAGACAAGTTAACAGAACCAACTTCCATTTCTTAATCGAGTTACAAAACCAAAAGATGGTTGTAAGGATGAAACCAAGAAGCTCTGTTCACAAACTCTATTTACACTATAAGATTAAATGGAGAATGGGTAATATAAGAAAAAGGTCTTAACTAAACACTTTCATTTTGTAATAAAGATCAAAACAGTTTACAAAAGTCTATTATATTGCCCTTAAGCATATGTTCGGTTAAAAAAAAAAAAAAAGAAAAAAATAACCTCTCAAGCATATGGGGTGATTTTGTTTTTCATTGTTCATTTAACAAAACATAGTTAAACTGATAGATTGAATTAATATATAGTATGCTAATTAGAGAAATGAACATGCCTAAAAATGTGCACAGCCTGTCAAATAAGACATGCAAAGTGAGTCATAAACTGAAAGCAGTGCATTAGGAAAATGACTGGGTATTTTCATTGCCATATTTAAGCATAGAGAACTCCTCTGGCAATGATGTACCACTATATTAATTTAAGGAAAAATGAGGACTTCAGTAAAATTAAAAAAAAATAAAAATATTCTGTCTGAGTTCCCAGGGAGCCAAGACAGGCTGTATTAAGACATCGATGGCTGTATTAAGACATTCAATGGCTGTGCAAAGAAATCACACTGGATGATGATGTTTATGACTTGTAAAAAATGTACAGCATGGCTGTTCAAGACTTAAGCAAAGCAAAACTAAAAGCTTCTCATATCTGTACCCAAAGGGGCTTAATGCTACAGCCTCCAGAAATGGTCCTCACTCCATGTGGGGCACCGCCTCCTGGTGCTGCTGTTTGGTGGCTACAGTGCCAGCTCAGTGAGAGGACAGGCAGAGACAGGGACACTATTTTTGGAGAATAAAAGGAGAAGGTAGGAGAAGGAATATTCAAAATTAAAGTATCTGGGGTTCAAACTCAGACAAAATATGTCCTTTCAATAGGAGTCTCTTTCAAGCTGCTTGGTTGCCCTAGGAATGCTTCCTTTCTGTCATGAGAAAGGAAATTGATGGTTTTTGTTGGCCATGGGAGACTCCATGTACACCAAAACACTTGGAAATCTGATCTAGTGAAGAAATGTCAGAATTTGGAAGTATCTGAAAGTTAAAAATGAACACATATAAAAACACCACAGGACAAATTGCACATATGATAAAGTAGACATGTAATGAGCAGATGACAACTCTGACTGGTCTTTGTTTTGGTAAGAAGAAAATTAAAGCTAAGATAATGCAAATCCTTTCCCTTAAAAAGCTGCAGAACCACAGGCTGTCAGCAGCACAGCAACTTACACACCCGCCAAAAAAAATGCACAGCCATGCCAGAAACTCAGAGTGAAATGGGCATATCACCTCTCACCCAAACAATGAAAAGGTGCCACACAAAATAGGAAACACATTATAGCTGGATAAAAGTCTAGACCTGCAACACTACAGCAGGACACAGAGTTAGACTTCTAGTTCTTAACAGGGCCCTGTGCCACATTCCCTGGCTGTTTTAACCTCTTGCAAAGCTCAGAGAGATTTCCATTGCACTGGAGACAAAATCTATCTTCATTATTTCTGTGTGTGTATTAAATGTTTTTGTGTGTGAATATGACTGTGCATTCACAGATGCACAGAATGGGACTTTGAAGTCTTCATGTGAAAGTTTTAAAGATGGTTTATCGTTTCTATTTGGACTGGTTGTTGTCAGAGGAAAATGTCTGTGAATGCATCTGAAGTGTCAGAGTGGCTAACCAGAGCGCAAAGGCTGATCTCCACAGCTATGGAGAAGACGAACCTATGTGATCAGTGAAGTTGTGTAACAAGACCCATTCCTACTTGCTTAACACCTTGTGGTGTTATTCCTTTGAAGTCTAATGCACACAGCAATTGTACATCAGAGGAAAGTGGAAAAGTCCTCTGTCCCAAGTATCACCCCATCAATTCTGACTCTGCAAATGATGGACAAATCAGACTTTGATGTGAGGTGTTTTTTGCTTAGAAAGACTGTGAAGAATGTTTTTGAAGGGGTTTTGCACATACTGGATTTAATTTAACCTCTGAGCCTTTAATTTCGCCTTCCACTCTCGTGATGGCAAGGGTATACAGCTTTGGAAGTGGAAACTATCAGAA